TTCTTTTAATCCAGTAAATTAAATCACCATAGAAAAAATCTGTAACCAAAACAAAAATGTGTAATTGTGCACAGTAACACTAAACAACTAGTATACTGATTCAACAGTGGACAATAGGCGAAATTGAAAAGCTATGAAAAAAGCATTAATAATGAAAATTTAGTTTTATTAACAGTTTGGTCTAACAAACTACTCTTTAGAAAATAGTTTTTGATTTATAAAACTAAACATAAAATTTATTTTAGTTCAATTTTTTATAAAAATAATTTGGTTTTTTTCTAGTTTAATCCAATTTAGTTATTTATTAGTTTAGTTCTAATAAATTGTTTATAACATTTTCTAATTATAACTTTATTTTATAACTAATGTGCACTAAACTACTTTTTATAATAGTTTAGTTTTTTAAAAACTAAACTTAAAATATAGTTTAGTTTTTATAAAAATTACTTTATTTTTTTATAGTCTAATTTAATTTAGTGTTTACAATAGTTTAGTTTAATGTAGTTTTTTAAACACCCCTACCTAGAGTCACATATGCTCATGATGCATGTCACACATTCACTAGTCATGTACTATTCACTTATGCTCTAACACACGCTTCCACATTCACCATAAAATCATAACTTTCATCACATTCCATACCAACACAAGATAGCACATCACACATAGCATATTGATACATGAGACACAGGTCAAGACATCATAAAGAGTGAAGGATTTCATGAAAACCACAAGCAAGGAAGATCACATTCGTGACTGGTGAGTCACGCCCATGATTCACTCGCAAAAAGTGAGGATTCTCAAACAGGGTCAATCATAATCGTGACTCGCCAATCACGCCTATAATTCACGCGCTAAAATGAGGGTTTTTTACAGAGTCAATCACGACCGTGACTCATCAGTCACACCTGTGATTCACTCTGTCCCAACGTGAAACGTAAAATCTGCATATTACAAAATGCGAACTCCACCGCTTTTACACCAATTCATCAAGTTTCATAACTTAATCGATACAAATATTCCATTATACATTCAGAACACGCAATAACACTCAATTTAGTCATCAACACACCAAATCAAACCAATTAACCACATTCCTATTTATTTTTGTTAAGGTTTCCCATAGGAAATCATAAAGCACTCTACGTCAAATCAAAACATGTCAATTTCAGGAATCAAATACATATTCGCAATCAGAATCAAATAAGGAATACAAAGGAACATTCAATTTTTTTTTATAAAAAAAACCTCTTACAAATCCCTAACATACACATACAAAGGATTAGGAGCCAATCCTAACTACCTAGCATTTATCTCCGCGCCCCAAGCGAGGTTTCTTACTCCTCCCATACCTTGATGGGCAGAAGTCGAAGCACGAGCAGTTTCCGGGTAATCTCCTTCTCCTGGTTCTCCTTGATCTTCAAAGAGAATAGAAAGGAAATGAACAGAAAGAAAATGAGTACGTGAAACTAAATCTAACAAGTCCCTTTTATTCAATTAATAAAATAATAATAACCCAATTACTAAAACAACCTTCCCTATTATAAAATAATTAAAATAAAATCAAAATACACTCTTCCTTTTTAATAAAAATATCACAAGTTTAAACCTTTAATAAAATACATCTTCATAAAATACACCTTATATCAATAATCAAAATATTAACTAGGACCATGTTTTTTTATTAGAATTTATATAATTAATTAAATAATATCAAAATTCTTTAATAAACACATTTAAAATATTAAAATAAGTATTAGCATATCATTAATATGAATTAGGAATATTGGGGTGTTACAAAAACTTCTTTTATTTCATATGAGATAATGATAAGTATGATATCAGTAGTATAACTTTCTATGCCCTGATTTATGTGAAGGTTGTCATTGAATGATAATTGATTTTTGATAAGTTGTATGTTAATACATGTTATATGATGGTTGAATTCGATGAACACGAATAAAATACTTGTGTCTATTGCATGTTATATGACGTAGGATGATGATAATAAGCATTGGTATGCTATATTTGTGTAGTTGAAATGGTGATGAGCCTTGATATGTTATGTATGATTAATATGTTATTATTGAATGAATTGTTAAGCATTAGTATGTTATTCTTCTTTGAGGTGTTAAACATTAGTATGTTATACATGATTGATGTTGTTGATCACACTGTATACATTGACTGGATGTGATGTATATAACAAATATATGGTGAGGTGTAGATACTAAGAATGTGGTGTGACATTAAAGCATGTTGGCTAATTTAGGACTTGAGGAGAGAAAATTAATTGGAAAACTAAAGATCCAACATAGGGTATCTTGAAGTGGCACTCGAGTAGGCCATTGTTGGAAAACCCTCTTTAAGTAGGTGTGTCTCTTGGAGTGGATTTTTGAGTTATATTGAGTCTCCTTTAGGTCCTTAATTAGTGGTTGAGTAAGGTAGGAGGTTGAGGGCTACATTCCTTAACCAAGTGTTGAGTGTCTTTTATTCCTTATTTACACTCAACTTTTGGTACTCTTTTTGGTAATTGTAGATAGTTATATATGTTATTTTACCCCCCTAAATTGGAAGAATTAAGTTATATTAAAAAGATAGAAGAGTAGTAGCAAAATCTTAATGAATTTCCTCCATTTGTGCAAAAAAATTGAGAAGGCAAAGATCCACAGCCATAGTTGTGGATCTGGAGCTCGAGCTATGGAAATATGGGAAGGAATTAAAAGGCTAGTAAGTTGTAGCTATAGCTGTGGAAATCTGGAATGCGAATTTGAAGTTCCAGATATTTGAAGCTATAGCTCTTGAGTTTAAACCTTTGTTCGCCTGAAAAACCACACTTCTTTGCTAACCAAACCTCAGTAGAACCTTAAAAAAGTCCTTGTGATCCTTAATTTTCTCTCAAGGGGTGGTAATGAAGAGATGATATCAATGCTTATGTTCATAGAAATGATGAGTGGAATTGAGAGAAACACAACCTGGAGAGTTATTCTTATGAGAGTATGTTCAATTATTGGTTTATAATGTTTGTGTTATGAATTATCTTGCAATCTTTTTGGTTGAGCATGATTGGTTTTGTGGGCACCTCAGTGAGTAAAAAATGAATTTTGATAGTGAATTGATTGAGTGTTTGCCTATTGTTGATACAGAAGCAATCTCATGATGGGAAGTTTTCTTGTTTTGATTGGTGTTTTGTTAGGGACCAACAAAAGATTAAGTTGGGGGAGTTGTTGAGTGTCTTTTATTCCTTATTTACACTCAACTTTTGGTACTCTTTTTGGTAATTTTAGATAGTTATATATGTTATTTTACCCCCCTAAATTGGAAGAATTAAGTTATATTAAAAGGATAGAAGAGTAGTAGGAAAATCTTAATGAATTTCCTCCATTTGTGCAGAAAAATTGAGAAGGCAGAGATCCACAGCCATAGTTATGGATCTGGAGCTCGAGCTGTGGAAATATGGGAAGGAATTAAAAGGCCAGAAAGTTGCAGCTATAGCTGTGGATCTGCAGCTATAGCTGTGGAAATCTAGAATGTAAATTTGAAGTTCTAGAGATTTGAAGCTAAAGCTGTGAACTTACAGCTAGAGCCATGGAGCACCCAGGACCCAACAAAAGTTCCAGAGATCCACAGCCATAGCTGTAACTTCACTGCTACAGCGCTGGAGGTTCCTTAAGCTTGAAGGAGTTTCCAGAGCTATGGCTGTGAAACCACAGCTGCCGCGTTGGAGGGTTCTTCACCTTGAAGGACTCTCCCCAGCCATAGCCGTGGATCTACAGCTGCAGCTATGGGGAAAAAAATCATTTTTTGCCCCTGTTTTAAAGCTCATATAAAAGGGGGAAAATGAAAGAAACAGGGCATCACGAACAAGAGAGAGAAAAACAAGATGGAGACCTCAGAGAAGAGAGAAACAGAGCAAGAACGAAGACTTGGGCAGCTGGGTCATTTGGGAATGAAGCCCAACCCCTTGTTTTCATCTCCCACTTTGTAATCTATTCTTTTACTTCTTATATCTTGTAATGGCCATGTGTGGCTAAACTCATTAAGGATTGGTTGGATGTAACTACTAACTCTTCTTCTTCTTAAATATATGCATTTTAATCTCATTATTTGTGCTTGATTCTTCACTCAATGCTTATAGCAGTTTGATCACCCGTGGTATGATTTTGGTTTTTGAATCCATTTGGAAAATGTTTTTGAAAACCCGAACTGAATCTTGCACCTAATCATTTCTCGTTCTAGGAATAAACTTGATTTGGTTAGTCATATTGTTCAAGTCACTATTCTTAATGCGAAGTGTTAAACTCAAAATATAGAGGAATCATGTTTAAGATTAATGACTTTAGGATTCAACTTTGAGGAATCTTGTTGGATTATTAAATGAACGTGGAAATAATGAAATTAAAATCGTATTTATTTTAAGAAGATTTACGAGTTTGCAAGTGCTTCTAAACCAATCCTTGTTTCTTAAACATTGTTTTAACTACTGTTATTTTATTGTGTTGTTTTACTCTATTTTTACTCATTTGCAATTATAACAACATTCTCTTTTAAATCATTAGAGCAAGAATTACTAAACTCTCAAATCCCTAAGGACGATACTTAATTACTACATCGAAACTTGGTCCGCTTGCCAAGTGGAGAGATTGCGAAAACCTCATCAAGTTTCTGGCGCTGTTGTCGGGGATTTGGTACTATTTAGTAATTCTTATTCTTGTAATTTTGTAATTGTGTAAATAATTCATTCTGTGAATATTTATAATATATAGATACATTTGTCTTGTTGTGTTTTGTGGACTCACCTTGCTGTGCAGACTTCTTGAAATTGTATGCGAGGGAAAACTCCATCCGAGGAATGACATTTTGACCCTGAAATTGAAAGAAAGGAAAGGAGGAACAACAGTAGGAAAAAAAGGCTTAGACAGTTAGAGAGAATCCAAAAACAACAGCAAGATCTTCTGAGTTCTTCTACTTCATCAAATCAACCACACCTTGAAACAGAAATGGCTGAAGAAGGAACAGACACTCATAATGGTGGACATGGACCAGCCAGGCCTCCAAGAAGGACCCTAGGTGATTATGCACAACGACATGGTCCTAGGCATTTCTCCAGTATTGCAGCTCCAAATACTTCTAGAGCTTTGGAGATGAAGTCTGCCTTCCTTACTTTGGTTAGCTCACAAAAATTTACAGGCCTTGATCATGAGGACCCATACTCACACCTTTCAAATTTCTATGAGTTATGTGGAACTATGGGAATTCATGAAGGTGATGAGGAAGTTGTATACTTGAGGTTATTTCCATTTTCTCTAACAGGAAAAGCTAAAGTTTGGTTACAATCTCACCCGAATCAAAGTTTAACAAGCTGGAGTGATGTGGAAAATAAGTTTGTTAATAGATTCTATCCATCATCCAAGTATATTAAAGCCAAATTAGAAATCACAACTTTCAGGCAAGGTGCAGATGAACCATTTTATGAAGCTTGGGAAAGATTTAACTCATTGCTCAGAAAATGTCCTAACCATGGGTTTGAAGATATAGCTCAAATCAATTTCTTTGTTAATGGAATCAAGCCTGAGGTGAAGATGTTATTAGATGCAGCAGCTGGTGGCACCATGATGTCTATAAGCCCAGAGGAAGCTACTCAAATTATAGAGTCTTTGGCATCTTCTGATCACCAAGCAGAGCATGGAAGACATCAATCTCATAAAAGAGGAGTTCTTGATCTCAGTACTAGTGATGCAATCCGTGCTCAGAACAAGCTGCTATCTCAACAGATTAAAACACTGACTAAGCAGATGGCCAAAATACCACAGCAGCTTCATGCCATTGCTTCGTCCCCAGCTCAATCAAATTCTTCTTTAAAGTGTGATTTCTGTGGGGGGGATCATCCCAATGGCCACTGTTTTGAGAACTCAAACGAAGAAGAGGTCAACTACGTGGGTAACCAACTGAAAGGAGGTAATTTTAATTCTCATAATTATAATACTAACAATTATATGCAGAGGAATCAAGGTTGGAGAAACAATAACAACTAGGGATATGGATGGAGGAATGAAGCTGGGCCATCCAATAGGCCACCCCACAACAACAACAGCAACATCAGCCTGCTTATCCTTCTATGCATGAAAGAACCAACAAATTGGAGGAGACTCTGAACCAGTTCATGCAGGTGTCTATGAACAACCAGAAAAACACTAAAGCTTCCATCAAGAATTTAGAAGTACAGGTAGGTCAGCTAGCTAAGCAATTAGCTAACTTGTCTAAAATCATGTTTTACTTCAGCAACTCACGCCCAACGCTACTCACCTTGCACCTAGCGTCATCCAAGTAGGGAGTTCTTTGTCTCGCCCATGCCTAATGTTACACAATTGCGCCAAAGATGGCTAGGGC